CCACCCACCATCTACTTAAGCTTCCACATGGCCATGATCCAGAGACACACAAACAAATGTTGGACACGAGCAACTTGTTTTAGCCATTTCTGCAGACCATAATCATTGAAATCTTAGAATTCCTAGAGCACGTGGCCGCAAGAGCGGCTGTGCGACATTATATTCTATCCAAAACAAGCAATACAAAACACATTGTCTAGCATTGCATTTTCGGCAGGTATGAGGGGTGGTAGGACTGATCTCAAAATATCGAAGGTAACTAAAGTAGAGAAAGAGTATTTTGCAAATATACTGACACACAGACAGGGGGAAGGCATGGAATGGGGTGAGGGGATCTGGAGATTTTGGTGGTGGAAAATGTGCACTGGTGAAGGGGTAGGTGTTTGATGACCTTATATTGAAGTTCAAACAAGACATATTTGTTACTGTACCTCACAGTGAATTAATAAAAAATTCACTTGATCACTTGACATCCCATTACTCATCGACTTGCTCGAGCAGGTGCCAGTAACGTCTCCATTCATCCCTGTCATGTGCTAATGTAGCCCAATGGCACCTTCTCATTCTAGGAACACGAAGAGCCTCAAACCGATCATTGAGGGTCTTGACGAAGAAGTCTGACCATCTCATAAGTGGGTGGCTACGTGATCTTTTGATGTCCCATGGAATCCAGTTGGTAATGGCTCTAGCCCCGCAGTTGACTCCAAATCTCATTACGTGTCCAGCCCATCTGATTTTCGACACCTTGGCAAATGAGACAGCATCCCTGATTCTTGATCATCAACAAAGGTCAGAACTCCGGATTCTTTCTCTCATTTGAGTGAAGCATGATACTCCAAGCATAGCTTTTTCGATTCCTCTTTGGAAGACCCGAATAGCATTGTCATCCTGCTTTCGTAGGGCCCAGGTCTCTGAGGCATATGTTAATGCAGGAAGAACAGTGGAATTGAAGAGATGTGCCCGGAGACGGAGGTTCTTTGACTTTTTAGCTATTCCTTCAACATTAGGTAGGTATATAAGTGTATACCATTAAATTATATTGCGTGTTACTATTAAATGGCTAATTGAATTATCTAAAATACTTCAGTCAAAAAATTGTTTATCAAAACATTGTTATATATCACCATAGGAACTTTAAGTCCTTTTCTGGAGGTCTATTAAACTACTCTTGCTAAATGAGTTTTTGTGTTAATATTTTTTGTTAATGAGCTTAGTTGGCTTCTACATTACATTCCCATCCAATCTGGTGCACTCCTACTGGGATGTTGTTATTGCAGAATTTGGAGATGCCTCATTCACAGTCACACAATCCAGAAAAATCCAGAACTTTTAACTGGCTAGAGAGCTTGCACGGCAGCTGTGGTGGAACATAGTGTAGTTGCCTGGGTTTTTGAAAATACAGTCGGGGTTAGAAGGGAGGTCACTCACCCAACTCTGGAGTTTTCAGCCAAAAAACCCAGGGTACCTAAAATTTTCAGCATTTTTGGCATCCCTTTGATGTTCAGTCAAGGGGCAGTAGAGACTGGCCTTAGTTATGGCAACAGCTGCTGCCCAGGCTTTGGCACGGCAGAAACTTAGCCTGTCCTGCTCCTAAGGTCACCCCACAGGTCTCAGCTGGGGGCTGATGTATCTCAGAAAGTTTTGCAACTCGTTCATCTCTTCTGGAGTAAATATTTCTGATGACCAAGACTTAACTATGGAGTTTTCGTTACAAAACTTATTGCCAGGCAACAAGAAACAGTAATATGTGAGTCAGTGGCGAGGTCAATAATTAAATGTTTTTACTTGGAGTAATCAATAATTTCTTGTTTGAGGTATGAATCCAGTATTAGGGCATAAGAGAGTCTTATTGAGGACTTACATTATCTATTCAAAATATTTATATGCATAACATACATGTATGAATTATGCATAACTTATAAAGTCACAAGTTGTAAAGCGAGGAATATGTAAGTATGCTTATGTGTATGTGTGCATATAAACATATATAAGTGTGCATCTATGTCTAGATGTACATATATGTGTATGTATACATCTAAAACGTCAAATTCTATTGTTTTAAACAATCTATAAAATAAAGTACAATGAATGGTAAGTTATAGTATAACCTACATTTTCTAATTCTCAGTGTTGACGTTGGTATTTTTGTCTTCCATTTAGATATGGACAACACACCATATTTTTAGTTATTTATTTTAAATCTGGTTTTAATTTCCAAAGTATGTTTATAAAACATTCATTTAAAGCAACAAGGCAATAGATCTGACAAGATTGACAGACTGATGGCTCTTTCTCGATTCTGTGGGTGGTGATGCATGGTCGTTCTTGGTGGAGCGATTTGTCTGGTTAATTCCAATAATGAATGAGACTCTGGCATGCTAACTAGTTACTTGAACTCCGAGCGGTCGGCATCACCCAACAAGATTTCCACTAGGTTCATTAGAAAGCACAGTTCTGAGTTACTTCTCTTACTGACCTATACAGTCCCTTCCCATGGAAGATGGTTTTCACTATGCTATCAAAGCAACTCTTCCCAAGATGGAAAGCTTCATGTAACCCTTTAACCATCAATTTCTTTTTTGAAAACCTTGTTCTGATGCCTATTGTTCCTCTTCTGCAGAATATTCTGGTTTAGAGGAAACAATCTGGATGTGGTATTAATCCCATGATGCAAAGAGAATTAAGAGCTGCTAAAAATCCCTGTTCTCTCCAAATGACTGTATGTGTTCATAGTACTAAGGATGAATACTTAGAATAAGTTTAGATGCCCATTCTTGTCAATTGTGACAGGTTGGGGGAAAAGCAATTAATTCTGCGCTTTGAGCTGATACCCCAAGTAAAGCTCTGGCTTCCAATGCCCTGGTCAGACTAGTGACAGCATGTACAACATTGAGTCCCAAAGACTAGCTTTGGGACTCAATACAAATCTTTTTTGTATTTGTGTTTTCCTGGAAATTGGAATTCTAAAGATGTCTCCCGGTTAATTTCTATAGTGAAGTGAACTTTTGTCCAGTGAATATATGTTGTAAGAACTTTGCTATGAGCATCTTTAAAGCTTTTTAAATATCTATAGAACTGATATAATACTTATGAAATGATACTGAAGAGTAGTTTTGTCATATTAAACAAGATGATTAGTAACTTGTGTCCAAACTTGGGGGATCATGTCGTACTAAGTTCAGTAAAATAAGAGTCTAAACTGGTGAGTTGACTATAAGGAATATAGTGTATAGATGTATGTCTTATGTCAGAAAGATGATGGATGCAGATATCATCAGTGGGGAAAATGAAAAGGAATCCTGTTAAAATGAAGCTGATTTAGAAATGGGTTTAGAAGGAAAGTTACAGGACAGAATGAATGTAATGTGTAGGTTTGAGGTTGTGTTTGAAGGAAAGGCACTGATCAGTTTTTTTTTATAAGAAACACTTTAAATCACATGCAGAATTTTTCCTAGTACCTTTTTGGTAAGATCTATGAAAAAGATATTGGACAAATTATCTGGATTTCTGTTATAGTGCTCTTATTAATGGGAAGTCAAGGTTTTCAACATGGGATTGAATTAATGAAATATGATGTTAAATTGTATACTTTATCTTTATAGATTTTAGCTTATTTTGACTAGGACCCACAGTAAACTGGCGTGTTGTATCTCATTGTAAGTAAAATGAAATGCTTGTTTTTCTTTCCTTTGTACCTCACTATGTTTTTGATGTTTCAAGGCACTGTGCTGGTTTGCATAAAGACAGATAAAAGTCTTTCCTCTCTGTAATAGGTATACCCCTCATACAGACAGGAAAAACAACTATGGGACCCCAAAGCCCTCTTTCAGGGAAACGGTCAAGGAATTGGTCTAAATAACAGGAGCAGGTATTTAACAGGTACAGTTTCAAGTACCCTACAAACCTAAGGGTGACCCTAGAGGCAGAGTGGCTCAAAGAAAGACTGGAACTTATCTCTGCTATGGACAATAAGGAATCTTGGAATATGCAATGACTGACTCAGCCTGGACCTACTTTCAGCATCAGGAAAAACCTGGAAACCTGGATCTCTCTCAGCCCTGAAGAAGAGATGGGATGGACTCCTTTCTGCCAGGACACCTCTATGGAAAATGAGGCTCAAGGCCACATCCGGTTCAACCTTAAGGCTCCAGGTATTCATTGTGGGACCTGATCTTCTCAGTAATTAACAGTGTACCCCAGATGGAGAGATCTCTAAGTTTGCTGGTTTATGCAAAAGAACAAGTCAGGTTTGTTAAGCCATCTGGCAAAATTTTAAAAATGATGATGGAGAGAAAACCATGTTTCTGCAATTATAAGTAAGTAAAAGTAAAAGTAAAGGCCCTCCCATTGATCATCGATTTGCTCCAGTAACGTCTCCATTGGAGACTTTGTTGTTACTGTGTCTGGCATATCAAAAACGTCACGGGGAGCTTGCCAGGCTCTGCCATGCGGGCGAGATATTCTCGGTAGCTTGCCGGGCTCTCCAAGAGGGGCGGAGGAATCGAACTCGGGTCGGCCATGTTGGCTGTGTGCAAGGCAAACGCCCTACTGCTGTGCTATCGCTCGGCTAAAATTATAAGGTTAAATTAAATTTATTAAGATTTAATTTAAAGTTTTAATTAAAATGTTTTTGAAAGGTTTAAATCTCTAAAATATGAAAATGTTATTTTCTGGTCATTGAATTCTTTCATAGTTTTATCTCAGTCGAGCCTTTTCTGATATTCTTTATTGCAACAAAAAAATGACGTTCCTCCTGTTACAAATTTGTCACAGAAAAAAACTTTCAGTTAATCCTCCCTAGGAATAGAGATTATTTTCTCTTTCTAGTATTTATCAAATTACAAATAAGGAAATTAGAAAATGAAACTATTCCAAAAGTGAAAGTGATTTCTTACTGCTTATGTCATAAGGTGTGGTCATTGCCTACAGCAACTTCTGCAATAAATAGATGCTCCCAAACATCTGAGAGGCTTCAGAGGGCCAGAGTAGTAGGCTGCAAGATGGCACATGTGATGGCCCCTCCTGTGGAAAGTCACTGGAAAATCGAGAAAGATTATCATATAGATGAAGATCTGGGATTTGCTCTGCCAACGCCACTGGTAAGTGAGGGCATGGAAATACAGACAAAAATAGTTTCTTACCATTACTTCCCTGTACAAATCAACTTCTCGTGAACCATTTTTTACTGAACAAATAGATAAAGTCATGCCATTTGGGGGGCAGAGTTTAATAAGTTAGCTTTAGAAATTCTTTGTTTAGAAATTTAGATATAGATTCACTTCAAACTTAAGTGTTGCCTAGCTAGCTATGGGACATGGTGAAATTAGGAAAGTATTAATATACTGGTTAGTTGACACTGGTGGTGGGATTGGTGTCAAAAGATTGTATGTCTAAATCTATCAATAACTTTGTAAATAAAGGTTGTTTAGTTAAATACAGGCCCTCCCGTTGATCGTCGATTTGCTCGAGCGGGCCCAGTAACGTCTCCATTGGAGACTTTGTTGTTACTGTGTCTGGCATATCGAATACTCTCGGTAGCTTGCCGGGCTCTCCGAGAGGGGCGGAGGAATCGAACTCGGGTCGGCCATGTTGGCCGCTTGTAAGGCGAACGCCCTACCCGCTGTGCTATCGCTCCAGCCCAATACAAAGTATAAAAATTATATTACAGAAATCTAAAGTCAGTTTGAGGAAATAATCACTATTTTAAAAAGTGAGGAGTGGATCTTGAAGGAAACCCCTTTTTTACTACTTGATAAAACTTAATTTTAACAAGATATTTGCTCCAAGTTTGATTATGTTTTTGAGAGTGTACACTCATTACTATGTGTTATAGTAAATTTACTTGTTATTTACATACAGTTCAACTGAAAGTTGGAAATATATTTATTGTTTAGTTTTATTTCAAATTTCCTTTATATTTTCTCTTTAAGAAATACACTTCTCTAAGTTGTTTTTACAATAATTTCATGAAAAAGTAGAAAATATTTAATTATCAATCAATTATTTATCTTATAAAGCAAATTTACAAACTTGTTTTGTTTGAGTGTCACACCTTGAGATGATCAGGACTGGTTCTGGGCTCAGGGAATCACTCCTGGCTCACTTGGAGACCTAAATAGTTCTGGGGGTAGAACTCAGGCTCAAGCCCAGCTTGCCATGTGCAAGGCAAATGCCCAAACCACATTACTCTGGACCCTCAATTTACAGATAGCATTCCATATTCACAATGTTTTGAAAGGTATATGTGATATTAACCTCATTGTACAATGAGAAAATTGAGCCAAACAGACTTTACATATTCATTTGTTTGAGGGTGCCACTTCAGCATTGCTCAGGGCTTATTCCTGGCTCTGAGTTCAGGGATCACTCAGGGGCTCGGAGTAATCATATTCAAGGGGCCATATGCACAGAAAATACCCTACCTAACTGTACTATTTCTCTAGCTCCCAAGGGCTCAGACATTTCCCCAACTCAAAGAGCTGGTAATAGTTGAGACCGAATGTGAGTCTAGCTAAGGTGGGTTCAGTCTATGACCTGAAAATTTCTATTCTGTCAAGAGAATAAAATGGTAAAAAATGGTAAAAGACTTTGCCTTTCTTTTTCTTTCCTCTCTTTCTACTAAGATGCATAAGATCTCTCTAATTGTGTCTACTTGTGTCTCTCATTTTAAATCAAATATATGTATATATATATTCAAATATATATTTATTTTTCATATATATTTAAATATATATTTAATGTTTCTACATGTTCAATAATATACCAGATCCATAAGAAATACTGAATTAAAAGCATAATAAATTTCGTACTTTGAGGTTGTGAGACATAAAAAGAGAAATTTCTTTTTCAGATTGGAAACTCCTGTCTAAACCACAGCAAACAGAGAACCCTACTTACATAAACTCTCAGCTTTGAGTTCCCATTTCTGACATTACTTACTAATGTGAAAAGGGTTGATCCACAGGATTCCTAGGAATATGAATTTAGACTTAAATAGTTGGGAAATTTTTATTGTGGGCTTTTTAGGTGATTTCCCAAATGAATCAGATAAGAGCACAAAGAAGAGGGAAGAAGCACAGAGTCCAGAGTCCTGAGGTTGTGGAAAGTCAACTAGCTTATAGCTAAGTAGGTTTGATACAAAAAGTCTTGCAGAGACCGAGTTTAGAGGCAGGGAGGCCATCTCTGAGAGACAAGATTGTTTTTTGGTAATTTTAACTTGTAAATAAAAGTCCCTTTGTCTCTTTTTCAAGGAAGAGCTACCTTACCCCTATGATGCCTGGATTCTCATTGCTAAAAATATTCCTGAATTGATTCAAAATGGAGAACTACGTGCAAATGTTGAGAAGGTTTGAATATGCACCCCATTTGACTTCTTCTAGTATAGCATCATATCTAAAAATTGTTTTGAGAGCTATTATATTATCCATATTATTTTGACTCAATCTCTCCATTTATTCTCAGTTGCCAAAACTCAGCATTGATGACCTACAAGGGCACAAGTCACAGCGCCTTGCACATTTGGTGCTAGGGTGCATCACCATGGCATATGTGTGGAATCAAGGTGATGGAGATGTGAGGAAGGTCTGGAATTTTCTAATATTTGTTTTTCTGCCTGATAATTTTATATCCAATATATATGCAGGTGAAAAGAATCTCAACGTGTTCAAACTATTTTTTTAAGTTTGGATAATGGAAAAGAGGGATGTATTCACTGACAATGTGCAGTAAAAATATTATTATTCAACCTTTATAGTCTTTTTCTCATATAGATGTTCCTCATTCTGTGCATTTATAAGGATATGTATTTCATCTTTTTTTAAACGTATTTAAACATAAAATATTTTAGTTTGTTACATAATCTCCCTAGCCATCATTTAAAATCACTTTCTAACTTTTTATCCACTTACTAGATGTGATTTCATCATCTTTATAAATATTTCGCTTCTTTTTACTATTTTACTGTTACAGTGATTATCCCATCAATGCTTTTGAATATAAAGTATTTTCTTGCTATATCATTGGGAGGCATGAACATTTTATGTCTCTTTTCAGTTTCTGCTAAACTGCTTCCTTTTGTCAATAAACATGGAACTTATTAGTTCTACTCTTAGTAGATAGCTTTAGATTTAAAGTAATATCATCTCATACTAACCCAGGCAAACTAACTCAATCAGCAGAGGGCAAGGAGTATGGATTTGTGACTAACTTCTTCTCCCGGACTCAAAGGATCATGCTGTGTCTTTCCCTCTTTGTAGAAGCTCATTAACTTTATTTTCCTCCTCCTCCCTTGCCTGGCTCTTTCTTCTTTCTTTTACTACAAGCTCAATTCTTAATGTTATTTCAATGCCTTCTCAAGACATTCCTCCATTAGTAATTCTACAAATACTTATATTGGAGAATATAAGTATTGGAGAATAATACTTACATTATTAATTCAGTATAATTAAGTTAACTACATTCAGAATAAATCAACAAGTCTGAATTTATTACAGACTTTATGTTAACCTTTAAATCATAAAAAGAAATGCAGTCTATTCCAGAAAGCTTTACCATTAAATGAAAATTGTTTTTAATTTTTGATAAAAATCATTTGTATTTTATCTTGCTTTGCTTTACAACTCTGCTTAGAAATACAACATGAATAGCCCATTTGTGATGAGTCATCAGCAAGTATGTAAGAAAGAGGAAGAAGTTGCTCTACATTATTACAGACCACACTTCCTTATCATTATGTTGCATATATAGATTCTGTGGTTAACAGAAAAGAGTTTTCATCTTACAGCCTAGTTTAAAATTTGGAACTTAGTCTCCCAAGATTTTCTAGAGTCTAAGACTTACTAACTACCTACATAAGCCTTGTATATTTAAGAGGGCATACAGAAAAGGTAGCATATGCAAGGTGCAAGACAGGGAGAGTGCAAAAGAGTTAAATAGTTGCTGGTGTAGTCTTGGAATGCTTCATGAAAGTGAGTGGTTTGAAGGACCTAGTATGAGGCTGGCAAAGCCTATCCAAAATAGAGAAAAGCATAACAGAAGGGGGGAATAAAAGACTATCAAAAATGATGGGGCCGGAGCAATAGCATAGCAGGTAGGGCGTTTGCCTTGTACGCAGCCGACCTGGGTTCGATCCTCGGCATCCCCTATGGTCCCCCAAGCACTGCCAGGAGTAATTCCCGAGTGCAGAGCCAGGAATAATTCCTGAGCATCACTGGGTGTGACCCAAAAAGCAAAAAAAAAAAAAAAAAAAGTAAATCCCAGAATGTTTGTGTCATAATCATACATATATTTCTATATGTATGCACTAACATACATATAAGATTTAATATCAGAATTAAGAAAATTACTTTTGATAATTTTTTCATATCCCATTACTTTTGAAGAAATTCAGGAGTTGTAAATGGAAAAATATAAAAGTAACCTTTAAATATTTAAGAAAATCTTAGTAAGAGGGGTCAGAGGGATAGTACAGAGGGTAAAGCATTTGCCTTTCATGCGGCTGACCATGTTCAATCCCTGGGATCCTGTGTGGTCCCTCAGGCATCAATAGGAGTAATTCCTGAGTGCAAAGCGAGGAGAAATCCATGAACATCGCTGGGTGTGGGCAAAAGCAAAGCAAATACACAAACAAAAATTTTAGAAAAGAGAAACCACACAGACAAAACAAAAATTAGTCTAATAAAAAGCATATTTTGCCTAAGAAGGGACAAGCAATAAATACCCAAACTTCTTATCAGCTATACAGATATTAAGATGTAAGTGAGCAGTTTCTCTTTTCTCATTTATTTTATTAATCACTGTCCACAGTCCTCCTGTTGTTCATCGATTTGCTCGAGTGGACCCAGTAACGACTCCATTTTGAGACATGTTGTTACTGTGTTTGGCATATTGAATACCTCACGGGCAGCCTGCCAGGCCTTTGATAAATATTTTCTCTTTTAATTTCCCTTTTATAATTTCCCTAAGTTAGAGAATATTAAAATATATTTTTAAAATTTTTTAAACTATTTGCCAACCAACATGTTTCAGCAGCATGAACAGCATGATTCTTTTTTTCCCACTCTTTATGCAACTTTATTTTTTTTAATTTTTAAAAAAAAATTTATTGAATCACCATGAGATAGTTACGAGCTTTCATGTTTAGGTTACAATCACACAGTGATCAAACACCCATCCCTCCACCAGTGCACATTCCCACCACCAATATCCTCGATATACCCGACCCCCTTCCCTACCCTCCCCCTGCCTCCATGGCAGACAATATTGCCCATATTCTCTCTCTACTTTTGGGCATTATGGTTTGCAATGCAGACACGGAGAGGTTATCATGTTTGGTCCATCATCCACTTTCAGCACACATCTCCCATCCCGACCAGAACAGCGTGATTCTAATGTGAATTTGCTAACCAAAACAAAATAAAACAACAAAAACAAACGAAAGATGGCTTGAAGTTCCATAGGCCCTATTTAGTGTAGTAAGGGGCAAGGAAAGCTCAGAGGCCTCTCTCCATGATCACCTGACAACTGGGTTGCACAGAGCAGTGCTCCAGAGAAACTATGCTTGGGACACTAGGGCCAACTTAGTAATGCACAGAGACCATTACATGTAACCTCTCCACATCAGTCCATCAAACTGCTTCTAGTCCCTTCTTAGATACCTCCTTTGGTGGGGGAGAGTCATTTGCACCACACTGACAGTACGCAGGTATTACTCCTAACTCAGTGCTCAGAGATCACTCTTGGTGATACTCAGGATTCAATATACAAAAGTGCAGGCATTGAGCAGGGCTGAATGAATACAGAAAAGGTATTTTGACCCAAATACTATCTCAAAGAATCCCCCGACACTTTTTGAATAAAACCTCATATTCTGGGCCTATCCACGTAACTTTTTCTGCATTAAAGTACAAGTATACAGCATTGGAAAATCAAGGGTGAAAACAGATTTTTTTTTCTGACACAATTAAATCTTTCAAGTGTAGCCTCATCATTATCCTACAGTGATAGTTTTCTAAAAAGCATTCAGAGAAAGTTTCTGTTAGTAGCAATATGAACTTTTATTCATAGTACACATATTCCAAAAATCTTAATTACTGGTAACTTTTAGTTTCTTTCAGATTCCTAATTCTATCTTTATATTGCTAGTAAATAATACATCCCTTACATATAAATAATAAATATGCTTTCCCTATATCCCGAGAAAGGGTGGGTGAGTTATTGATTGTAGGCCATTTAGAAGGTCATAGGCCATTTGAAGGTCTTCAGTATAGCAATTATTCCTCCTATTCTCTACTTCCTTTTTCTAGCTACAAACAGTATATGGTCACAACAGAGATTAAAATGTGAACTTTAAACAAATATGAGGATTAAGTTATGAACTAGGTAAAAGAGAAAATATATTTGTTTACTCTTAAAATAACATTATGTTAAACAAATATTTTGATACCAACAAATGAGGAAAATGTAATAACTTCAAATATCACTTCTGTGTTTTACTCAGATTCTTCCAAGCAATATTGCTATTCCTTACTGCGAACTCTCTAAGAAACTCGGCCTGCCTCCTATTTTGGTTTATGCAGACTGTGTCTTGGCAAACTGGAAGAAAAAGGATCCAAATGGGTATGTAAAAGTGGTGTGAGAGGAATAAAAGAACTATGTATTTAAATCAAATGGCTAGATCATTGGTTTAATATTGACAGGACAGTTTTTGAATGCTGCTCGAGTATGCTTTCTTTCTCCAGAATATTTTAACTACAGGTATTTTTGTATTAGCAGACACATGTACATAAGTATCAAACAAAAAATTGTACGACTGTAAAAGATTAAAGTAATTATTTTTCTATCATATATCATATACACATATTAATTACTATACACCATTTTATATAAATACTGTTGTTTACCTTGTGCTTCTTTTCATTCAATTCTTTTAACAAATAAATTCTGATTTTTTTTACTGGTGTTTAGATTTCGTATTGGTAAAATAATAAAGCATGTATTATTTCTTGGAAGAGTTATTTTGATTATTATTTTTCCTGAGATGCTACACATTTAATTTTTAAATATCTAGTTTTGTTTGAGAATCAGCTTAACTTAGAGATGAAAATCCTCAGTATCTATTAGCTTCCTATTTAGTAATGGAGTCCAAAATAATAAAGAGATAATATAATCATGAAGAATATAAGATTTGGATGTAAGAAACCAGAGGAATATTATGGACACAGAAATGCCACCGAATAAAGAATTTTAGCTAAACTATATTGCAAAATCCTGTTTTTTGCATATTTATATATGTTTTTCTTTGGTGAATCAATTTTTAATTTAACTTTTTAGCACAGCGGGTAGGGCGTTTGCCTTGCATGCAGCCAACATGGCTGACCCGAGTTCGATTCCTCCGCCCCTCTCGGAGAGCCTGGCAAGCTACCGAGAGTATTCGATATGCTAGACACAGTAACAACAAAGTCTCCAATGGAGACGTTACTGGGCCCGCTCGAGCAAATCGATGATCAACGGGAGGGCCTTTACTTTACTTTACTTTATTTCACTTTTTTCATTATTCAATTGACTTATCATTGGTTTGCAATATATTATAAAATTCTTCAGTGTGATAGTTTTGTGCCTCTATATGTGTGCGTAATTGTCACCACTTGCACTGTCAAAGTTCCACACCACCAAAGAGACCTCTCTACTCATTATTCACACCTCTGTTGGTTTTTCCCTATAGTAATCGCCATAGTTTTCACTGGGTCTAGGAGAGAATTTTGTTAGTTCTTCCCAAATCTTTTGCTTTAGCAATTCATATTCTATATAGGAGTAAAACTCTTCACAAATTTTCTTCCACTTTCTTATCCATTTTATTTAGCTTACTCACCTCAAATCCTATATGTTTTGTACCAAAGGGCATGATTGCATCTTTCAAATAGAACAGTAGTATTTCACTGATTCGATATACCATTTTTTTAAAAAAATCAAGCCTCTTAAGGATTTGGAATCAATAGATTTTGATAAGCCTAACCATGTGTTATTTACTTTTGTCCTGGCTGGAGCAATAGCACAGCGGTAGGGCATTCGCCTTACAAGCGGCCAACATGGCCAACCCGAGTTCGATTCCTCCGCCCCTCTCGGAGAGCCCGGCAAGCTACCGAGAGTATTCGATATGCCAGACACAGTAACAACAAAGTCTCCAATGGAGACGTTACGGGGCCCGATATACCATAGTTTTTTATTCATTACTGTGTTGATGGCATTTAGGCAAATTACATATTTTACCCATCTCAAATAATGAAACTGTGATTACAGAGATAAATTATCATATTAAAGTAGATGTTTTGGAGCGATAGCACAGCGGTAGGGCCTTTGCCTTGCATGCAGCCAACATGGCCGACCCGAGTTCGATTCCTCCTCCCCTCTCGGAGAGCCCGGCAAGCTCCCGAGAGTATCTCGCCCGCACGGCAGAGCCTGGCAAGCTCCCCGTGACGTATTCGATATGCCAGACACAGTAACAACATAAGTCTCCAATGGAGTCGTTACTGGGCCCGCTCGAGCAAATCGATGAACAACGGGAGGGCCTTTACCTTTTACCTTACCTTTAAATTATAAAATTACTAACAGTAATATTCCTGGATTCACGTGGAAATTTTATTTTAAAAAATTAGGTCATCTTCACATCAATTTCCATAAAACTATACCAGTTAGCTTTCATGGCAACTTTTTGTCAGATTTGTTTTTTCCACATCCTCATTAGTACTTGGAATTTCCAGCAATTGTTAAAAATATGCCTTTACCTCAGGAGTGAGGTGAGACATCACTGTGACTTCCAATTTTATTTTCCTAATACTGAATGATGTTCAGCATTTTTTCCTTATGTCTGTAAACTATTTACATGTTGTTATTTTTTTTAAACCGCGTATAGATGACTTTTGACAATTAGCCTTGTCAGATGCATGATGTACATACATCATGTAAAAGATCTCCCCATTCCCAGGTTGCCTGTTTGGTTTTGTGATAGTTTTTAGCTATGAAAGAGCTTTATGATTTGATACTGTTACAATTGTTTATTATTGCTCTCATATGTCAAATGTCTCCAGATGCAACTCTGATGTTGATGTTATGGACTTTACTGCTGATATTTTCTTTTATGTATTTTATAATCTTGTGTGCAATATCTATATTTTTTAATTCACCTAAAATTATAAGCTAAACATTTGTAGTGCCAACTTGAGAAATATAAAAAGCACATATTTTATCTGGTTGTATCTTGCATCTTTTATGGATATAGCAGTCGAATTTATTCTAATATCAGTGACCTAATCATTTGATTTTTAAACTGGCTTTCTCTTTTCCTTCCAATCGGTTCATTGTTTTGTGGCTGCTTTCATAAGACCTATGACTTATGAGTAAGTACCAATACTTATTTGGTCTATGACTTGTTTTAGCTAGAGAATTGTACAGTGGGCAAGAAACCCCTTGCAGCAACCAGACCCACTTTGACCCCTGGTACTATTTATGACATGCTGAGCCCCACCAGGAATGATCCCTGAATCCTGAGACAGGAGTAATCCCTAAACACAGTTGGATGTGGTCTCCAAACTAAACAAAACAAAAGATATTTGTTTTTCAAGTAAATATATTTTACAATATTCTTCAAGGTTATTTGTAATGATTTATTGAATTCAAATACATTTTACTTTGTTAAAAATTCATAGAGAACTATGATGTTGATGCTATGGACTTTATGGACTATAAAAAACATAAAAGAAAACATCAGCAATAGAATCCATAACATCAACATCAGAGCTGTATTTGAATTTTTGACAAAGTGAAAAAATCAAGTAATTGTTTAGAGAGAAAATAATGTGGGCTTTAGTTATATATACTATTGTGCAATAACTGTGCTTAATAGTATATCTATATTTACTAAAAAGTTCTTGATTAAAAATGTACAATTAGTATATACAAATACAAAATGTTTATTTGTCTTTATGTCTGTGACTTAGCAATTTCACTGACCAGAAACACAGTTCTGTTCTTTTTCATCTAGTCCTTATAATTCTTTACCTTTGTACTAAACAGAGTCTAAGCACTAGGAAAATAAAGGTAAATATCTTGCATAAGTATGCCTGGGTGAAACTGGACTAATGGAGAGGAAACGAGACATGAAATTTTTAATTGCAGCAAGATTAAAAGGATGGGTTGAAATTTCAAAACTGGGTACTCTAAGAAAAAAATGGAATGAAGGAAGGAATTAAGGTAGACCATATATTTATTTACCCACCATAAAACTCATATGTACTGAGTCCATGCTTGCAAAGTAACAATAAAAAAGAAAATAGGTTCTCATTAGTTATTTGAATTCCCTAACTTCATAAGATGGATCTGAAGAGTGAGGAGGAATAAGTGAGAAGGAGGCTAACAGTACAGTTTATAATTTTAAGTTATTAAAGAAATAGCATGATGCAAGTGGGTATTGACAAAATTAATTATGTTTAACCTGTGGCCTGAAAGAATTTTAAAATAATATATTAAAATAAAAGAAATGTTATTAATGATCTCCCAATGGGAAAATTATGCAATTTGTCTAATTTTACAGAAGAGAACACTGAAGCAGAAACATGGAATATTTTGATCTAAAATCTTCACAAGGCAAATTAATTGCAGAAGTTGTCTAATATCAGAGATCATGTATTTGTTTCCCCACAATAAAACTCATATTTACTGAATCTATGCTCACAAACTAACAATACAAAAAGAAAATAGGTTCTAATTAGTTATTTGAATTCCCTAACTTCTGGGTCTGTCTGTCTGTCCTCCTGTTGTTCATCAATTTGCTCGAGCGGGCCCAGTAACATCTCCATTTTGAGACTTGTTGCCCTAACTTCATAAGACAGATAAATCATTGAGAAACTGAACCAAATTCATAGAGAAAAATAAAAATTTAAATATACTTGCATTGGAAAAAAAAAGACAACAAAATAATTAACATATACACTACTAATGTCTGAGGGGGAAAAATGTTGGAGGAAAAGAGTCTCCAAATTTCTGGTTCTAAATTTTAGAATAGAATTTAAAGTCCCAGATCAATATACTGCTAATCCTAAACAACTGACATAGTATCAATATCTTCAAATAGTCAATAGAGCTAGTAAAGCTTGCCAACTTGTCTCAGAAGATGATTTTGGAAAAATCAGCAAAATACTTGAAAACTGAAAACCTTTTACAAATATGCAACCCTTTTGTTAAATATACTCACTTCCTTACCTGATTTTCTTAGGAACATGGACATTCTCTTCTCATTTCCTGGTGGGGAGAGCAGCAAAGGATTCTTCTTGGTTTCTCTGTTGGTGGAAATAGCAGCTGCTACTGCAATCAAAGTATGGTCCTCCTTACTGGAAACGTTGTATATTGTCTCACATATTGGTATAAACATTTAATAATCAAACTATATTAACTTCTGAAAAACTTGAATGCAGCATTCAATTGCTTAATTTCCTAGAGGGGTGTATTATCATGTGTAAGTAAATATTTTGCTTCTGTCTTCATCTAAAATATAAAATGTAAAGGACAAACATTTAGAATCAAATTTGAAAGCCTGATAAATACTTCTAATGCAATTTAATATTTGAATTATGTAGCAATGTGATGTAAATCCAGTGGTTGTGATATTAGAGAGAAATTTATAAAGCAGGTAAGTTTTAAATTTGTAAATAAATCTCTAAATAAGAAATGAATAAAGGTGATCAAAGCTTAACCAACTACAAAGAAATTAGTTAAACCATTGTAGAGAACTCAGCACAAGAAAGAAATGGAGGTACTGGAGAGATAGTATGGGGAGTAAACCACTTGACTTGCACGCAGTCAATCTGGGTTTGATCCTCAGTATCCAATATGGTCCTTTAACACTGCCAGAGGTAAACCCTGAACACCACCAGGGTGTGGCCCCAACCCCCCCCCAAAAAAAAACAGAACAGAAAAGAAAAGAAATTGAAATACCAAAATTTAATCCAAGGAGTAAGACATAGGAGAATTTTATTCTATAGCAATTTTTAGTGTTAGACATATTAAATGCTTGGGGACTAGAGTGATAATATAGTGGGTAGGGTGTTTGCCTTGCACGCGGCCAACCCAGGTATGATTCCCAGCATCCCATATGGTCCCCCGAGCTCTGCCAGGAGTAATTCCTGAGTACAAGGAGTAAGCCCTGTAAATCGCCAGCTGTGACAGGCTGTGACTGGCTGTGAAACAAACAAAAGTAATATTAAATGCTATTTTTCTTTCTTTCTAAAGGTAATTCCCAGTATATTCAAGGCAGTACAAGAGCAAGACCAGAATACTTTGAAAAATGCACTGAGTGAAATAGCTTCTTGTCTGCACAAAGCTCTTGAAGTATTTCACCAAATTCATGGCAAGTATTTATGACAGAAAACAGCCTAGGCTGAGGAGAATGTTTCTGATTATGTGAGATATGGGATACTGTGAGACTTAAAAGCACTAACTCAGATAGTATAGTTTCACTGAATATAACAACATTAAAGAATTATTCATTTTTCGTAGTAAGTTTCCTTCTGCTCACTTTATGTGGATAGGTATTTTCTGAGAGAGATTCACTTGGAGAGAAAAATGAACTAAGATTGAATAGGTAGTCAATAGGAAAGTCAGAATTTTAAAGTGTGTGGAATGTCCTTTGCTCCACAAAACACCATTTGGAGACAATTATCAAATATGCAGTTTGTTATAAGTTCTGAAAACTTCAAGTTCTATTGGATAGAAACTTTGAACAAAATCTACTTTTCAGGAGATGGCCAAAAACGCAGAAAAGAGCGAGCTCAAATTTTATTACACAATTAGCACCAATGAGAGAATAATACAAACAATATGTGAAGAATAATTTTCAAAAGGAAGTTTGCCTTACTTGAACAAATACAAGTTTAATGCTGGAATTTGAGTTACTAAAAGCAATAAGACTGACCTTTTATCAAAGAAACTAGCAAACTTTGTAAAAGAGTCGCAAATATATAGTTCATGATACTGCTGAGGTTTTGTTTCTGTTTTGTTTTGTTTTGTTGAGGTTGTTTAGGTAGGAGTTTCTCTGTATATAAGTACATGAAGTAGCTTTGAATATGGTTGATAGTTTAGTCACCAACAATGAGTGACAGGTGGACACAGGCTCCTCAGCCCGAACAGTGGATTAATCTTATGGTAGTCCTTGTTCAATAGACACAGGGAAACAGGGGGTTTGCTTAGCAGAGAGCAGGTGCATGAGAGTTTGCTTTTTCAGTCCAACCCAAAATCTTTCCTGAAGTTTATACTGAAATTCACTATTAGTTCTTTGACATTTGATTCCTACATCTCCCTCCAATTCCATACCACCCAGCATTTTGTATCTCATGTTGCTCTTATAATTAAGCAATCCTATATTTTTAACAGATTATGTGGACCCAAACCTCTTTTTCAATGTTCTTCGCATATACTTGTCAGGGTATGTAATATTTTCCAAGATTTTTATTTTAAACAAGTAATATAAAAAGTCTGTCTTATTCCCTTTGTGCAGAGAAAGAATAGACTTACTACTTAGTCAAACATTCATTGGGATATGGGAAGTGGTGGCTGGGGGGAGAGAACATAGTTAGACCTTTCAAGGAGAGGAGAATGAATCTTGCTAAGACAAAGTTTCACAGAATGCTCATTACAAATGAGCTCAAAATCATTTTTATGCATCCTTATGCATAAAAAGAGTGGAGAAACAAAATCACCCAGTTTGGGTTGTTAGGCATTCCAATGAATCAATGCTCATGGCCAAGTTTGTGTTGATGAAATCTAATTCACCTTACATTTTATTAATATCACTTGTAAGATTTTATATATGGAATTTGACAATTCATTAAAAAACATTATTTTCTCATAACCTAGCTGGAAAGGAAATCCCTTGCTGTTAGAAGGTCTGCTGTATGAAGGTGTTTGGGATACACCAAAGAAGTTTGCAGGGGGCAGTGCAGCTCAAAGCAGCATCTTTCAGTGTTTTGATATTCTGCTGGGCATCAAACAGGTTGAAGGTGGAGGTGAGTAGAAACAGATAAATAATTATCTTCTATTCAATAGTAAATATTTGTATTGTCATGGATTGTGTCCTAGTTTCATGGATGCCACATTCCATCCCCTGATAAAGTAGCATTTTAACATCTAAAGTGAGTCTTTTCATCAGCATCTCAAATAATGATTTCTGATGCTATTCACTAGAGAATTTGTTATATTACCTTCTTTCCATTTCACAGATGAAGCAGCAGAATGGGTTCCTTCCTGTAAACCTCTAGGAAGAAATGAGGTCTATTCTATTAATCTTGGCATTTGATTACAAGCATAAACCCACTTTACTGTGGTGAAGCTAATATCACATGTCCTGAAAATGCAGAATTTGATTCTGGAAGAGAAAGTCATTGGCAAATGAGAGGACAGAGAGCCTGAATTAGGAAGCGGATATCTCAGTGAGAGAACGTTGATAGTACTGGCTCTGTCTTCTTGCTGAATTGGCAGTCAGGAACAATGCATGCATCAAAGTTTAAATATGAGACATATATAAAGTAATATTTGAAGATGAGAAACTATTAGAAACTTAAAAAGGGATGAAGTAAAAGCTCCACAAGGAATTTCTCTTTATGGTTTTCCTGAACTTCTATTTATTGGTCAAAGGATATAGCTTTGAGCTGGCTATAATGCTTATTTCTTACTTTATTCACTCATTTCAAATTTGTCTCTTAAAAACTCTGGACATAGTACTATGATTTTTCAGGCATACATTACATATGGGCTGGAGCGATAGCACAGTGGTAGGGCGTTCGCCTTACAAGCTGCCAACATGGCCGACCCGAGTTCGATTCCTCTGCCCCTCTCGGAGAGCCCGGCAAGCTACCGAGAGTATTTGGTATGCCAAACACAGTAACAACAAAGTCTCCAATGGAGATGTTACTGGGCCTGCTCGAGCAAATCGACGATCAATGGGAGGGCCTTTACCTTTACCTTACCTTTACATTACATATATTCTCTTCATCATCATCTTCCTAGAAGAAACAAATACACAAGTAAAGTGAGAAAAGAAACATAAATGTTTTGAAAATAGTCACAAAAGAATGATTTCAATTCATCTGTTTTTCAGAATAAGTGCATTTCACTGGAGTTTCCATTATATCCAGCAAGACTATTTATTAGCCTCAGCACTAATAGAATGGTTGTAAATTCTGGCCTCAAGCTTGGGTGACTGTTTCACCCTGACCTAACATAGCCTCCCCCCCCTCCCAACTGGAGAAAACATAGCTTTTCTACTAATTTATCTTTGCTCTGTCTCTTTAGAATCTGCTATATTCCTCCAGGAAATGAGGACTTATATGCCTCCAGCTCACCAGAACTTTCTTCAATCGTTAGAGACAGGCCCCTCAGTTCGTAAGTTTGTCCTTTCAACAGATAATGCCAGTTTGCAGAACACTTACAATAAGTGTGTGAAAGCGATGGTCTCTTTGAGGAACTACCATTTAAATGTTGTAGCAAAGTACATTGTTGGACCTGCACGTCTGCAGTCGAAGGTGCAAAAAACATCTGAAGAGTCATCAGATCCAAGAAATAAAGGAACTGGAGGCACAGACATCATGATATTTTTAAAGACTGTAAAAAGTAGAACTGAGATGTTCGAGGTGAAGAAACATTAATGTGACATTGAGTGTAAACTTTTGCCAATGCCAAAAAATATATATCTGTGTGTTTATCTGTATATATTAATCCCATTGACATTTATAACAGATGCACTAATAAAAATTATGCGACACTGTTAAATTTCAAAATCATTATTGAATATCTGTGCTCTTTGTTAGAAAACAATAAAAGAACAATCATAACTGCTTAAATCTGTATCTATAATCAAAATATCAATGATTAAGCTAAAAATTCATATATAATAAAGTCTTAGTATGTTTTTAATACAATAACTAAAAATATGCTACCTTTAGACACTTGTAGCTGTCTATATTTTCCCTATAGCAACATAAAACTCTTTCATGATTGCCTATTTAGTTGTGTGTTCTCTTATGACATGATAAATTTCTGATACCAGATATTCTGCACTGTTTCCCAGGACCTCGAGTTCCTGGCTCTCTACACATTTATTAAGCGTGCATTTTTCAACACTGTGAATTGAACCTGGGTCAGCAATATACAGGCAAACACACTGAGCCCTGTACTATGTCTACAGTCTTATGTTTGAAATGTATTTGAGGGAGTTCAGTGCACACGTGAATAGCACACTGTTGCCTTAATTTTTTTTGTTTGTTTAACAAAAAGAATTTCATGGAAACATGAAAGTGCTAAAGAAAACATTTAATTAAATAGGTAGAGGAGCAAATAATAGAATTTAACACTCAGCTGGGATAAGTCAAGTGCCTTATAAGAAAAGTAAACAGTGGAAAAGCATTTCTGCAAGATTCAGGAGTGGGGGGTCTGGAGAGAAGGCAGCACTTGGCTTTATTTTCCCTTTTTTGTGGTTTTCAACCCCCCATTTCCTAATACTCTCACTTTCCCCCACAAATAGTTGCGAATATTTGGAGTCTGAAGTCTTAACAGAATGTGACTATTTTCATGGTTACCATGGTAATTATAAACTGCCGTGGCACGAGAGGGCATAATTTCAATATCTTATCTATAATGGTCATATAATGAACTAGATTTAGTTCAGTGGTCACTAAGGATTAATCCATATTCATTCAACTTGGTTAAAATAAAGGGAGAGACCATGTGGGGCATCAGAAATCTCCAGTGAATTATCTTTACTACAATAAGTTTGAACTGGTGCCTTGCTTGTAGCCTTATCGTCAAACGGTCTATTGACATCGCTTGCCCTTCACTCTATCTCACACATCGCTTTCAACCTACCTATCTGTTTCTCTTAGGAAATCAGGACTATTGGATAATTATAATAATTATTAGATTATTATGTCTTCCTCTGACATGAATGTCTTTATTAATTTAATTTTAGAAACTTAGGGCTGGAACATAATCATATAGTTTCATGCTTATTTAAAGATGTGAATTAAAAAGAGTGAATTTTTAAAAGCGTGAATTAAAGAGTGAATTTTAAAAGAGTGTATTTTTTGACTTGCATCATGCAATTAGTTATCAATAGGAAGAAAGTTCATCTTTTAAATACACGGAATAGCCCAGGTTACAGAAGAGGGATTTTCTTTTTTTTTTTTTTGGACCATACCTGGTGCTGCTCAGGGCTTACTTACTCTCTTACTCTTTGTTCTATGCTCTGGGATCATTGCTGGATGGATCAGGGGACCATATGGGGTGCTAGTATCAAACTCAGGTAAATTGTGTGCTAGACTGTAACACTGCACTGCACTGTCCTCCCATTGTTCGATTTTCTCAAGTGGGCACCAGTAACATCTCCATTGTGAGACTTTTTGTTACTGTTTTGGGCATATCAAATACGCCACAGGGAGCTTGCCAGTCTCTGCTGTGCAGGTGCGATACTCTCAGTAGATTGCCAGGATCTCTGGATCTCTGGATCTCTGAGAGGGACAGAGGAATCGAACCCAGGTCGGTCACGTGCAAGGCAAACGCCCTACCTGCTGTGCTATCGCTCCAGCCCTAGCGAGACAAGTACCCTAAATACTGTACTATCACTCCAGGCTCAGGAGGAAATTTTTAAAGAAGAATAGAAAAAGTGGAGGTACTGGGAAAAAAGAGACAGATTGTCATCATCCTGAGGTGACAGGGTACCTAGGAGCAATAAGCTAATCCAAGATGTCTACAACTTTAGTTCATTGAGACAGACACGTGTTATTGCCTGGGCACCAATAGAGGTGGATCTCTGACTGTTGATCAACTAACAAGTCTATTCAGGGCAAGGAATTGACTATTGAGGCAAAAGCAGGCATGCAGTAAGGGGGTCAAAAGAAGCAGTCAATGCTTGTTTGTTAACATAGAGTTTCAGAGGGACACAGACTCAGAGTTTCCAAGCTCTCTAAACAGAAACAAAGGTTTCCAAAGACAAACAAACAAAGGTTTCTAAAGGCAATCATGAAGCTTATTCTTAAAGGTTTCAAAGACAGCTTGCAGTCCCAAGTCCATCCAAAGATGAATTATTAATCTACACGATTCTCTAGGGGTGTGTTAACCCCACCTCTGGCACAAATCCATTGCCATGTGTGAACTTAGTATCTGAAGCCATTGCCTCTGGGAACCATGAAGTGATCGCACAAGTTACTCAGCCTAGGTGGCTCCCGAGCTCCACTAACAGGAACTCCGACAGATGAAAAGCAACAGGGGCCAGGGCAAGGCTGCCAGGTACCAAGATGATGTTAAGGAATGATAGATCCAAATATCCAAACCATAGAGTCAGCAACAGTGAAATTAAGAGACACAAATTTAACAACCAAACTTAGAAAGGTGCTTGTCAAGAGGGCAGGCTGGAGGGGGATGTACTATTGGAGAGATCTGGGAACATCAGTGGTAGAATTGGTGCTGCGATACTTTATGTCTACAACCCAACTATGGAACACTTTGTAAAACAAGATGCTTTAAATTAAAAATATGTGGGGAAAATTTGATCATTGAACTCACCATGAGAAAAAAATAAAGCTATCTTCTGAAAAGATATAAGTGGACTTGATAACAGGACTAAGGTTTCTTGAGGTGAAGTTGAGGGAAGGAGATAATATTGTGGAATGTAGTAAAGAAAATAATAAAAAATGCATATTATTAACATATTTGATGATTTTTTTAAAGAAGTGATATTAGATTCAGAGAAACAGTAGAGTGGGTAAGGCACTTTCCTCGATCACAGCTGACCAGGGTTCAATCACCCACGTGAAATATGATCCCCAGAGTTCCATCATGAGTGATTGTTGAGCACAGAGCCAAGAGTATGACCTGCAAACCTCCAAATGTGGCCTCAAAACAAAACCAAAAGTTATATACCTATACAATATATTATTTTGTAATGGTAATATAATTTTGTAATTGAATATTACTTTGTTATACATAAACTATTGATATAGGAAATAAAAAAGAAATAACAAATATAGTTAGCAATATAAAGGAAGGAAATTCTAGACCATAGATAAAGATAATTTATCTATGAAAGGACTATCATAAGAAAGGACTTAGCTTAGTGCCCTATATTCATAATGATATTAGAGCCACAGAAATACCAGAGTAGGTAAGACATTGGTGTGGTGTGGAACATATATTTTGAACAAGTATGAAACTTTATTACTAAAATTTATGCAGTTTTGTAAGCCAACATCTCCTCTTATACAAAAAAGTAATAATAAAAAGAGAAATTGTAAAGGATACAATTTATATATGGAAAACAAAACTAGTAAAATTAAAGCAGAACACAGAAACCTGGCAGACTTTTACCTGGGTTTCTCCATGAATGAAAAATGTAACAATTATTTTCTAATTTTAAGAGCATATATGTTCTATAAAATAATCTAGTATTTCTCTAAATGCAGGTTGAATCAGAGGATCTTTGAGTCTACAACAAAAAGCAGTTAATAACAGCAAAAACTCTGTGAAAATGGTTTCTTTTACATTTTCAACCCATGCAAAGTCCTGTGTATTATAGATAGCATTACGGCTTTACTTTAGAAACAGAGAAAAAATAATTGAAAAAGAATTAAGAGATACTAAGAGACTTAGGGATAACAATCAGAGAAATAATTTCTGCATTAAAGCAATTTAAGAGGAAAAAACATAAATTAGGAAGAATGTATTATTGGTGGATTAAATAATAGTTGAGAAGTTCTCATTCAAAAATGAGAGATTTTTGCAATCATTCACTAAGCTCAAAAAGTTGAATGCAAAACTAATTTGGAAACCAAGTCATACTATAATTCAAAGAGCAAGAAGCTGACATAGTATCCTAAAAGAAGCAAGAAAGAAGACTAACAATTAAAATAATATCAGACACACAAATTATTTCTTGATTCTTTGCCATGCCAAGAATTATGAGTCTTTGCTATACCAAGCAAGACCACTGGTGGGGGGACATTTCAAGGTATTGAATGAAAATACCAAAAAGTTTTGCGACCAAAAACTTGATCCTTCCAGGGTATGACTCCAATTGGTAAGAATGATAAAACATCACAAATGATCACATCTGGGGCATCCACTGGCTCCAAAGCAGCTCTATAAAGAATGCAAAATGATTTTCTATGTAAAGCAGAAAACTGCAGTAATAAGTGGAATAATACAAATCTTTAAGCAGGGGGGAAGGTCAAGAAAAATTGAGGCATAAGTGGAATGCTAGATTTCTATGTGGCACAACTATAAGAAAAATAATAACAGAGTATTGGCTGTCCATAGAGAGTTAAAATAGAGGATAAGACACTTCCCTTGTACAGCTTATCCCAGATCAGTCCTTTGCAGCAATAATAGTTCAATAACTCCCAAGATTTCCTTCTCCCCAGCCTCTAGTAACCAAGAAAACAAAACAAAAAAATTAAAACTACACAAATGCCTTGCACGCAGCCAGCATGGCCAACCCAAGTTCGATTCCTCCGCCCCTCTCGGAGAGCCCGGCAAGCTACCGAGAGTATCTCGCCCCAATGGCAGGGCCTGGCAAGCTCCTCGTGACGTATTCCATATGCCAAACACAATAACAACAAAGTCTCCAATGGAGACGTTACTGGGCCCGCTCGAGCAA